AAACACACACTGCAGTTCTGAACTGAGCAAAAAATAATAGTGTACCTGCACTTTAACTCCATGCTCATTTTCTCAAAGAGGTTAAACAGACAATTAGCTGAAGAGCGAAGCAAAGCAGTCTTTACTTTCATGTCATTTTAATTAGGGCCTCTGAGATGGTTATGTAAATGAGAACAGAACTACACACTGCTGTTTCCATCTCTACGTGCATGCTTGTGCGTGCACACATCATTCACACCAAAATCTCAGTATCTTCGTTTCAGTATTTATTATATCAGCTGATACAGTTTTTTTTTTTTTGAAGGTAGAATTGAAAATAGAATTAAGCTCTCTGTATACCTACCTAGCACATCTGTTTTGGCTTTGGAAGGAATCATTTAATATGGGCTTGAGTCTTAATGCTGCTGAGTCTGGAACGTGGAACATCCTAGATTTGAATTCAGTCTTCAACATTGAAAACATCAAGGACTCACCTTACCCTAAACAAAGAAAGCACAGCGGTGCTTTTTGCTAAATGCTAACACACTAAAATGCTGATGTTTAGCAGGTATGGTGTGTTCCCCATCTTAGTTGCACACTAACATTTGCTAATTAGCACTAACCTCAAAGTACAGCTTAGGTTGGTAGTCATGTCATTAGTGTTGCTGGTATTTGGTCAAACAAAGCTTTCTAACAAATTACATTTTTGACTTGATGTGGCAAACTCTTGACTGCAACCTGGATCCAACTTTCTCAGAAGCATTACAGGAATTGTGCTTTTCTTTGCATTGCTGTACTGTTACTACTGTGTGTATACTTACAAAGCAATCCACATGATGACTTTCCCTGTTCGTCTCTCTGCAGGGGCATCTTCAACCAGGGCTACCTGTGCTCCAAGTGCGGTTTAGGTGCTCATAAAGAATGCCTGGGCCGCTTTGGCTGCTGCGGAAAAACAGGTAACCCAACACTGCTTTACACACATAAATATGAGTACTCTCTCACTGTATTGCACAACCTCATATCAGTCACATCTAGTCTGCAACCGTTCTGCACTTATGTCACTGAACAAAATGTTTCCATGGAACACATTAAATCTAACTGTATGAACACAACTGCACTGTTATAGCAGCATGAACATAATGACAGATGACACACAGTGGTGCATAAAACTTGATGGTTGAGTGTCTCATAGGACTAATTATGAGTATAAGGGAGGTTTGTTGCACTGTGATTTTAAAAAAACTACACTGTGACATTCTGAAAAGTATTGCACCGAGTGGAATTGTGGGAATTGCTCTAAATATATAAGAACTTTACACATGCCTTTATTTCTCCCAACCAAGGTCATCCAAGTATTGGATCAGTATTGCAGATATTCATTCAAAAGCTCCCCCGCTTCCCTGGGTGGTTTTGACACTTCAGAGCACCTTAAAGGCGATGTCATTGTGTATCATTGTACCGATTCCCCAAAGCTTAATAGTAGTTTTACTGAGGAGTTTTAAAAAACTCATGACTTTTTTATTATGCCCCTGTTGTGTATCTGTCACTAAGATCCTTGACAGTTCTGAAAGAAATATGCCTTCAGATACCAGCTTAGCATGTCCTCTGCATGTGTGTGAGCGTGAGTGTGTGTTTGTGAGGGTGCAAAGAGGTGAAAATCCACACTTTGTTTGTGGAACTTCTTTTAGGTCTTGAAAGTGCATGATTGTGTTCTTATAGAACTAAAACCCTGCACAGTGTTCTTTTAAAACCAAGCAAGCACAACCTGCTCAACACTGCACCCGTAACACTGCGTGTCGCAATTGCGTGTGTGTGTTTGCATTCCCCGTGGCAAGCTGCCAGCTCCTGTTGGACCTGGCATCTGTCACGGTGCTATCAGATCGCAGAGGCAATAACGCCACTGCCAGGCCCACCTGGGCACAGTGTGTACCTGAGTAGATTTGGGCGGCACCAGCGGCGGGAGAGCTGGTGAAGACGGGGATGTCGGTTTGAATTCCCACTCTCATTACTCCACACAGTATTCACTCTGTGCTGGTACAGGGAAATGTACCATGTACCAGTACTTTTAAAAAGTCTGAAACTTCAGAAACTGGACCTCAGCATTGAACTTTCTTCACTCTAATGCTCAGAGTGCCACAACAATGCTTGCATGAACAGACCAGCAGGGCTGCACAAACACACAGTCACAGTATAGGGTTATGTATGTGTGTGTGTGTGTGTGTGTGTGTGTGTGTGTGTCAGAGATAAGCCATTGTTTACCTACATTTGTCTCTGTTATCAGCTCCCTGACAGATGTTTGCGTAACAGGTCAAAGTTCACTTGAGGAACAACAGGCCTGCTGAGAGAAGTGTGTGTGTGTGTGTGTGTGTGCGCAGATACTGTAGGTACTGTAGGTACAGTGCATATATTTATGGTTTTCTGACAGCTAGCGTGTGTGAGTGCAGAGGTATATGTGTGTTTATGCAATTGTTCTGTTTGTACAGGTACAGGAGTATGAACGTGTGTGTGTGTGTGTGCAAAGGTGTGCATGGTCACTTACCACTTAGCCTGAAACCACTCTGAGTTGAACGAAAGGACTCAGCAGGGCACTAATTGGTAGACTACACAAAGGAAAAGAATAAAATTCCTCTGGCTGCAGAGACTGTTTCATCCCTACCACCAGGTGTGTGTGTGTGTGTGTGTGTGTGCGTGTGGGAGTGTTTCACCGTTAAACATGTGCAAAGTAATAAAACACTTCCTTATTTTGTGTTCAACTTCCCTAACACTATTGACTGATCATTGCATAGATATAATTAACACACAAAGAGACAAAGGGAAAAGAAATAAAGAAAAATACAGTATTATAGATGAAAACTACCCTGAAACTTGAAATATTTTTATATTTAAAACAATGTATAGCATTTGTGGTTTGCTGTGAATAATGCTTGCCAATGCAAAACTCTTTTTTCCCTCCCTTAAGTTATTCGCTCTGTCTTTTAGTTTCCTCTCTCGATCTCCCTATTCCCCCTCTAATAGTCCATGCCTGAACCCCCCTTGTTTCTCACTTTTCCTCCATGGTAGATTGTCTTATTTTTCCACTGTTAAAATCTCATTTTCTCCCTCTTTCTCTCCTAGTGTGTTACTCCTCCTTCTCTCTCTCTCGCTCTCTCTGCCGTTGTTGCCCTGCTCCAATCCCTCCTTCATATAATCCTGTGTTCTTTGGCTCGCTTCATTAGTTGTAGCAATAAACACACAGGGCCACAGGATACCTCCAGAAAACTCCTCAACATGGTTAGTGCAGAGTCAGGCTTACATGCCACATATACAGGGGGTCTGTGTACTATAAAGTATGGTTGTGTGTGTATAAAAGGGAGTAGAGACAGACAGAAACAGGGGTTCTGGTTTAGGTTTCTTTTGTTTGTTGTTTTTTTGTCGTGCGCATGTATAAAGAAGTACAAAAGTACAGTATGTACTATATGCATGAAATCATTCAAACATACTGTACATGCAAGCATACTGAATACAAATTACGTCATCATTTACAATTGTGCGACCAGACACCGCTTTTAAGATTGGGACTGAAATCTCGTATACTCCCTGATCTACCATTGTTTAATAGACGTTTTTGACTGCGTGACCCCCATTTGTTTGGGATGTGGTCCCATTATTTTCGTAGCTTTTTATGATCCTGATGACAACTCCACTACAGCTCTACTTACTCACTGCTGATCAGTGTTCTCAGAGTTTCTATGGAGACCCCTTACAGGAGTAGCTCAGATGGTGTTTTGACAAGGGAAGTGCTGGCGACTCCCCCATTTTCAATAGGCTCATTATTAAAGCAGCTCTGCCTGGACTTAACTCAGCCCGTATTTCTACGACCACAAAGGACTCATAAAAACATTCTGGCAAAGTCAGAAACCACACTGCAACATGCACATGAGTATGAGCGTGTGTGTGTGTGTGTGTATGGCCCCCTCCGCACGTGAGAAACTTTAGACAGTACACGGCTCTGTTGTGGGTACGCATGAACCCATTAAAAAAAACAAATACATATCCATGCAGACACACACACACACACACACACATACATACATACATACATAGTAAAACTGTGCATAATACATTAAAAAGAGCCTGCATAGACGCTCCTCCTCTTTCAATACCTGCAGGGATTGAATTAATAGTAGTTTGGAAAAGTGATTTTGGAGAAAATAGGTATTATTACAGTCCAAGCACTCACTTTTTCTCCTTTTGTCTATTACAATACAGTCCTGTGGAAAATATTATTACACACAATTTAATATTCTGACAGTAGGCTGCAGTAAACATGGTGAATAGAACATGACGCGGTGATGACCTGCAAAGAAACTGATGTCTAATATCTATTAGCTCACTAATATACAGTATGTATTGGTACTACTGCCATACAGCAACAGCTACACAGAGCAGAAAAAATAATAAACTTGGTCTCGGGTAATTTGTTGGTTGTATGTGTCCTCAAGGAGCTGCGTTTTGGTCTCCATGTGTTTTGAGTTTTTACAGGAAGAGGTGGGATGCGATAACAAAAGCAAACAGGAGAGCATCCTGTGCGATGCAGCTGATTCCTCGTCTTCACAGGCTCTCGTAATGTTTGCTCACCCCACACTGAAAAGCATGACTTATGACAGACAAAATGCCTTCTACTGAAAGGTGGAATTGTGGCTGCCAAGGTTGCTTAAGTTAAACAGCTCCTGCGAGAGGTTTTCATGTTTAAAAAAAAAAAAA